GGTGGTGGTGGGTGGTAGTAGTAAAAGAAATACATAATAATGATGTTATTACTAATAGTAATAATGATAACCACCACCACCACCGCCGCCGCCGCCGCCGCCACCACCACCACCACCACCACCGCCACCGCCATCGCCATCGCCATCGCCATCGCCATCACCACAACCACCACCACGACGACTACGACTACGACTACGACTACGACTACGACTACGACTACGACTACGACTACGACGACTACTACGACTACTACGACTACTACGACTACTACTACTACTACTACTACTACTACTACTGCTACTGCTACTGCTACTGCTACTGCTACTATGATGATGATGATGATGATGATGGTGACGATGACGGACGTTTGTAACCTATTAACCAAAATCTCCTCCAAATCCAAGGATTTGTTGAGAGGAGCTCTGAAAAAGATCTGACATACCTCCTATGTCCCTGGTTTAGCATGTGTTGGGCGGCAGGGTGTAGAGCTCTGTGACACAAAGACCTCATAAGCCTACTGCTATGCATCTAAGCCCTATATGCTTCCAAAGCCCTGGACTCCGAAGCCTTGTACTTGAAGCCCCGAAAATCAACTTGCAACCCCTGAATTGCAAAATAGAGAAAACGCGAAAAAAGGTGAGTCATCCCAGATACCCCTCCAGCATAGAGAAAAAAGACAGTCCTTGTGGGCATCGGGTCACCTGATGAAAATACCCGGGAACCCACCGAGGTGGACCCTGGCTTTGGAACACAGTGCCAGCCCCGAAAAGCACGGCATTGATCAACGGGTGTTGTATCTACTTCAACTGCATGCATGCTTGTTTGGATACTTGTTTCTAGCACCAGACAGACTCACGGTATAAGATAAATGCACACATGAACGTCCAAACGTTTGCATACATATACATACAGATATATATAAATATGTATACATGTCGAGCCATGTCAAGACACATATAAATGTGTATGTACATGCAAAGATGTTTTTCCGATCTATGTATCAGCCCAGCATCTTTTCCGCAGAGCACTGCCAGTGATCGGCTGGCCATCAAGCCTAGAACTTGCTAAGACTTTCATGGTTCAGGGTTCGGGGTTTAGAGTTTAGAGCATGGTGTGGGAGATTAAAGAAAGCCTATGCATGGCATACAATGGATGTCTATAGGCACATACCATGCCGGCGTGACATGTACTGCGCTCAGTTTGTTGCACTACGTGTACTTCGTCAATGTAATCCAAAGGAGTACGCGGTGCCTAAAAGATATAACGCCGGGAGGGAAAATGAGTAGCAATTCACGATCACAAGTCCTTATCTTGAACGACTACTCTGCTGAAATCTTCCCTGCACAACGGCACAATAACATTGTGTCCTTGCAAAATTCTGTTGTATACCGTATACACCATACCCCGACACCCTCGCCTTCAGGGGTGTCTACCATACGGGTCGAGAAGAGAGCGCCGGAAGCCTTGAGACCCTCCGGCCTGGATCCAGAACTCTCACGAAACCAAGCCTCAAACTGCGAAACCGCGAAAGAAGGATTAAACAAGATCTAGCCCTTCATCATCAAATCTCAGCGGGCATGTAAAGCATTGTTGCAGCTTCTACTCTCTTCTTCCAGACCTACCCCTTTGGACCCAAGGAACATGATGCTGCCGCTGATCCGCTGCTTCCGCGTGTTCCTACCATGCGCAAGCTAATCAGAAGGGTCAGAATGTGGTGAGCATCAGAGCAGTGCCCGTATGAGATCCAGACAGAGGCTGGCAATCTAGCGGACTTCCCATTTGCAAAGCCCTTTAGTATGAGGACTGGGGTAAAGCAAAAGCAGCAGCTGGAGAACGCCTTATTTCTGTTCAAATCTCTTCTTGATGGACGGGACATCTATTCATATGTTTCGAGTAGATCTCTAGTTCACCATCCAATCAACATGTCAAAAATGAGAAAATGACGTGTGATATGCTATTGTGCATGTGCTTTTGTGTGGATTTCTTCGGGAAATGTAGGGTCGCGTGACTGCTCCCACAAACCTCTTGAGGGTTCAGGGTTCAAGGTTTGCAGTTCATTGGTTTACGCCATGTTTGCGTCAAGGGGGGGCTTATGAACCAGGATTGCGTGGGAGTTTTAGCTAGGGTTGTTTAAGTTGAAGGCTGAGTCGCATGAGGCCATCTGTCCACAGACAGGCGTGTGCGGATTGCCTGTAGGACGCTGTTGGTGCTAAAGGCTCAACTCTAAACTCATCCTAAAAGCCTAGCAGCTCTGACAGGCTTTAAAGGAAAGATTGTCTCTGCAATTCGACCAACCTATGTCTGGTCATCTCCAAGCCCTGAAAACTGAACCCTAAAGCCCGCAGATGCGCACAGATGGGGGGTTCTTTGGGAAAATGTGGATATGGGGGAGTTATGAGGTGATTGCATGGGTTTGGAGAAAGTCCCATATTCGTCCCAAAGCAGGAGTTGCCTTACGCGGCCCGCAAGGACGTTCAGGAGCGAGGTCTTGCCAGCACCTGCAGACTGCCCCGCGTAAACTCACTTTAAGGTTTCGGATTTTAGGCTTGGGGTGTTACGGTTCAAGGTTTTGAGCTCGGGTTTGGGGTTCAGGTTAGCGCAGAGTTCTGGGCCTAGAGCTTAGGATTCAGGCAATGATTAAAGGTTCAGTTGTTTCTGTGTTGAGGTTGACGCTTTTGGATGATTTATGAAGCCCAGGCCCACGCCCCCCCTGTGACAGTCAATCTGCCGGCATCCTGTGCAAGAGGCCTTTTCATGCATCCACTGTGTGACCCCGAAAAACTTACATGATCCTAGTACGGCCCAGTATGATCTCCACAACCCCTGTACACTCACGCCGTAGAAACCCTATCACACCTATGAACTCCTGCGTGACGAAGCAAGGCCTGGAAGGGTGCTGACACTTACGACGAGCCCCCAAACCTTGGACAAGCAAACGCTAAAGCTCAAATCTTGAGTTCCTAAGCCCTAAACTCGTAATCATGCACAAACCCTAAGCCTGCAACCCTAAAATCTAATCAAACCCAAATCCCAGAATATCAAACCATAAACTCGAAAAGAGCCTAGTCAAAAAGGGACTCTCCAGCCTGACGGCCCCATGAGAGCACACAACTCTCCAGTTTCCAGGCTGCCCGAAATGTTGTCTAAGATCTGCTTCTCCTTCCGTTCAGGGTTGAAAGGCTGAGTTTTAAGGGCTTGGGGCTTGGGTCCCCTGATTTGTGGTTATAGGGGGTACTGGGGAAAAACAAGGACATTGCGAAGGTGTTGTCGTCTATTTCTCCGAGGTTGCACTGCCTTGTGGCTGTAAAAACTTTAACACGGGATTATGACCCTTTGCTAATGAGGATCTTACATAGGAGTTCTCTGAGTCTCCTTCCCAGCTAAACCTTTGACAAACGATAATCAAATCCACAATGGGTAGGCACTTCAAAAGGCTTTTGGTTCAGGTGCTTCTCCAACGTGTGGATCTTCTTGGGGATGTATAATTCATGTAGGTTGCAGGGTTTGTTCAGGCGTGTGGCAGTTGATAGGGCTGGGTAGTTCTGGTTTGAAGGGGGTCTAGGATTAAAGCTTCTACGAGGCTTGGCTTTTTGGCATGCATCTGCTTTCGAAGGTCCCTGCACTGTTCTTAACCGCAGCTACAGTTCTCACTCGCAGTCAATAGCACTAATTGTACATGTCATCTTGGAATCCAATCTCCTGAGGCAAGATGCTCGCTGAGCGTAGGACCCTAATCCGAGTAATGAAGCAACACGTTCCCTGCAAACAATTCCATCTTCAAAGAAAACCTGCCCCTTACCACGAACAATGAATCTGGAACGTACCAAAAGCCGACTTCTTAGAAGAGCTAGAGGCAGAAGCTGGAGCCCAGAAGTCCAAACCCTAATCACTATGCTTAGCTGCATTAAAATGGGGCCAAGAACACCCAAGCACAAATGTACCAGTCAAGATCCTGGGGAAGTGAGGGAATTGAAGATGTGGTGAGAAGTGGTCAAAGAAGTTTTGTCTTGGGGTTCTCCCTTGTGACGCAGTCCTGCTTGTCAGTCCCCACAGTCATTCCGACATCTTGCCAGGTGAACTTGGACTTGATCTCAGTGAGTTGCTGATGACCCTCGCCATCTATGAGAAGGTACACTCCTAGACAACTTGAGTAACTGGTCATTGAATCCTCAACTTCTTTCAAATAGCACTTGCTATTCGCTCGGTTGTGAGATGAATCAATATAGGCTCTTCGTCGTAGCGCTTCATCCACAGTCAGGAGAACTGCGGGTGGTGAAGACCGCTACACAATCTGTGCTGTTGAACGCGAGGACCCCAAAGAAATCAGGGTCTCAATCTCCAGGCTTCTGCCGGGTGGCCGTCGTAGATGAAGCTCGTACGGCCATGGGAACCATGGACTCCTTGCCTGGCACGCCGTGGTTTACACTGTGGTCTGGGTTTTAGCTGCTGGGCTTCAATGTTTACACTTTTACGTCCGGCTTCCTCGAACTCCCAAAAGCTCTAGCAGGATGCCCAGAAACTTTGGGACATATTAGGGCCCCTACAACCTCTTCGCTCTACCGAATTCATATTGATTCTTGAACACCAGAATATGCTCTTGGGAGGGTTCCACCGTTCATGCCAAATTTGGAGACCTTTCGGTTTGGACTACACCTTGGTCATACCCCTCTCAAGAATCCACTCGGAATCCTGGGCTCAAAGGTCCTGGAAACAAACCGAAGACCTTGGTGGGACGTCATGGGGTTGCGGCAATTTGCGACACAGGTTCCTGCTGAAATTCCAAATCCATAACCTCCAAAAGCCTGACCCGTACTAGATTGCAGTCATGGCACCTAGTGCGAACGACATCGGCAAGTTCTCAAAGTCCTCATCGTTGACGGCTTCCTGGTCAGAAGCAGATGGGTGGAGATGTTGGGCCAAGGTTTTGGGCTAAGTTGATTGAGCTTCGGGCTCGAAATGGTTTCATCATAACTTGCAAGAATGTAGCCTGCTCCTCTCCGACTCACATATCCCCAGCCCTAGGGTGTACAAGCCCAAGTTATGTTCAGGCCGCCTTCAGATGTAACAGCATAGCTGTAATTGAGAGCAATGCCGACATGAACAGCCCCATCACAAGAACCATAGAACAGTACTATACAGGCGTTGCATCATCAGACTAACCGGTCCTAAACCCTTAAACGCCTAGAGGCCTCAGTCCCTAATGTTTCGGGACCGGCCGTTAATCCAAAACCAACCAAACTTATTAATGCTAAAAAACGTTTGCTCCGCTGGTCCTCACGCAGCACCTCTTCACTCGGCTCGGGAGCAACTTTCCTCCCAGGGCTGGTGGAATAAGGCCTCCCTTTTTGTGGTCTAGGGGTCGGGGTATGCAAGAAGTCCACAACGAAACCCACAGGGTTGAGGAAAGTGATGATCGGAATTTCCAAGGAAGAAAACATCCCAGAAGGAAGCCGAGCTGCATGGCATCCGAAACCCCGGCAGCGGCGGTGACTGCCAGGTCTGTCTTCCGTGAGCTTCACGGCTTTAAAGGGTGAGTTTCGGGGTTGCGGTCTAAGATGTTGGGCAGTCTGGTGTAGACTTGTAGGGTGTGCGGCTTCAGTGGTGAGGGTTCTATCCCAGGGTGTCGAGTACGGGTGGTACGCTCAGCAGAAGTTAGTTTTGGGGTGCATTTCTGGGACTGGCTCAGGGTGTGATGGCTGAGGGGGCCATGGACCAGCATAGGCCATGCAACTAATGGTCGTCAAACGCTGAGCCGCAATTGCAACGGATAGCAGCAAGTCTTTGCCAAAGGGGGGTTGGGTGGGGTCTGTAGAGTTAGGGTCTATCATGCAGCTTTGAGGCTCTAGCTTTAGGACCTGAAATGCTTAAGGCCAAGCGGAGGCCTTGAAGTCGTAGAGCTTGGGGCTTAGGTTGGGAAGGGCCTGTGGATGGATATGGGCCAGCAGGATTCTGGCATTTAAGTTTCGGAACGTTGCTGAGCCTGAACCGGTTGCAGAAGCCATTGGAAGCGGGCTCAGGATCAGCGAGGCAACTCTACACCGATGAATCATGCAGACTCCCAGCATTCCAGTTTGATAGCAAGTATTAGGGTGAACAAGATTCCTACCACCTGGCAGGCACAAGACGGGTCCGTGGCATCGTTGGCCACAGCAGAGCCGTAAAGCCCAAACAGCAGTGCCTGCGGGCTTTGAGGCGTAGAGTCTCTGACTCACTTTTCTAGATGCTCGCAAGGTTCAGCGGGTGAATGACATGATTCTTGAGTCCTTTCCAGATGTGGCTCCATAAACCTCTTTCGTTCAAAGACCATATGGGGATGGATCCCCATGCTTCTGAAATGCCCTGATAGATTTGACCACCACCATCAATATCCGAGCTAAAGAACAAGACTTTCAGCTGTAGATTTGACGCTTGCAAGCTATTCTGTCCTTCCTCCCTTCTACTGCTACAACTGCAAAGCTTCTCCAAGTTTTAGGCTCGCCTGCTAAGAACATGTGCTACGAATTCGATTGCCACTTTCATGCTTATGTGCAGTTATTTTGCTTATGGGTGTATTTTGTTGGTGAGAGAGGGGCTGTACGTATCTCTGATACAAATACATTGCACTTTGGCTATTCATGCTTCCCAGCTAGCATCATTATCATCACCTCCTACAAACATTACGATGAGCTTACAGGGTTACTTCACCCTCTTCCCCTTGCAATGAATAGCCCCTTCGCTTGAGGAGACTTTTTCCTGGGTACTGAAGGAAGAAAAGAAGTCCGTACGCCGTGGCCGAGCTCCCTGCCTAAATACCCGAAAATCATCACCAGACGTACAGTCCTCACCCTTGGGTTTTTCTCAACGCCCCATTTCTGCACTCAAAATGGCCTGGTCCTCAAAGGAAGGAAAGGAAAGAATCACGAAAACCGCAGAGTCCCGAACCCGAAGCCACATGATTGGGCTGCTTTCTTCTAACACCTTCGGGCCCTCTGCCTCGCTGCCCAGAAGCGCGAGGCCCACGGAGGCCAGCAGCGCATCGGCGCGGAGGACAAAGACCTCCGGCTTCTCTAAAAACGAGTCCAGAGATATTATCACGGAATAAGGGGTGGAGAAATTCCCAGATTACTCGTCCCGATACAAGTCAAAACCGGTGATTCTTAGCCTGCATGCAGGCTTTGGTTGTAGTAGTGTAGGCTAGTGTAGGCTTGGGGGTTTTCATGAGTCTGGGGAGTGGGGGGAAAGGGAGGTTGGAATCAACTACAGTCGTATTTGCTCTTCGTGTGCTAGTTCTCATGATGGTGACTATCCACCCAGAGGGTCCATGCAGGTATGTGGTGTATACTTAGGACCCAAAGGGGTTGCCCTGTACCTACTTCAAGGCCCAAGTATACACCATATAGATACATGGACTCTAGGGGCTACAGATGAAACAGCTCCCATCATCGGCACTATGCGTGTAGACCTGCTATCGCGATTGTCGTGTTCAGGGACATGGGTTGGTTTCAGTGCTGCTGCTGCTGCTGCTGCTGCTGCTGATCACAGCATCCCATTTCACTTTGACAATTACTGGTACTATGGCTGCCCATGTTATTTTGACAGTATGTGGCTGCTGCGCCTCACAGTACGACTACCAAGACTAGATGTCTTCTTGTCTACATCGGAAAGACTTGTTTCCATGTACACCGGGAAGATGGGAAGCGAGGCCTGCATTTCCGAACACTCTCCACACCCAACCTCAAAGCTTCACCCTCAGGCTTTTGCCTTCAAGTGCTGTTTCAGTCCTCAATCCACCAACACCCTGAACTCTGAGCCCCCCAAAGTCTATAATTTCCCTTGGCTTCAAGCGCACCTGATAGCTCAGGTGGAAGCCAAACAAGAAGGCGGCTGGGAGCCCTAACCTTGCTCAGAGGCCTATGGGGTGGTGGGATCTGTTTGGGGAAGCCAAAGACCTGGTGCGTGGGGCTTGTGCTGTGACCCCAGCCATGTACGGCCGAAAGCTGTCCGTGGCTACCTTGCTAAAAGGCGTGTCCATTTTCTGTGATCTGTGACAAGCCGGGCTTGTTCGTTAAGGCAACGTTCTGCAGAGAATTGCCCGACAGGCTTCGGCATGCGCCAGTCGTATGATTACGATGGAAACTTTGAAAAGCCCTGTCTAAATCTGACGCTTGTGATTTGGCGGACGCGGAGTTGCGTAGGCCACTTCTGCTCTACTATGTAACCCTACAGCCCTTTACTGAATTTGCGCGATGCTCTAGCGGTACATGCGTTTCAACGACGGAAGAGTAACGATCCCATCTGCTTGGGAACCTGACGCGTTAGACCTTGGAGCAGCAGTTCCAAAAAAGCGCTGCACGTACTAAACATGATGTACCTGCATGTACCTATTTGGCAGTTTCCAAACAGTTGGGGGGTGCCTATACTAAGCATTACAAAATATTGCGCTACATAAAGGTTCTCCTATTCATTAGAAACCCCAAGTCCTATAGATCCATATAAAACCCCTACATACTCCCTATTTGATTAATCAAAGGGAACAGGATGAGCCAGGCCACCAAAGTGCTGAGATCAGCGGCGCCGAACGCGCCGTCCTGTCCCAGACTGGGATTTTGCTGGAAGGGATACGGAATACGTCCGAGGCTTCAGCGTATAGAGCTTCAGTAGACTTACAGAACACATACAAACTTTGAACATGGGCACACGACTCAGTTACGGAAGTGGCTTGAAGGAAACCAAATTGTGGTGAGAGTCTGTGCCTCAGACACGACCGATTAGAAAGCGGGAAGGGACTGCAGCGTGACCGTTATCACAAGGTTACGAAGGGAAGAGGACATCAGAATGGCATCAGAAAAACTTCTTCGTTGACATTCGAGTCCCCCATGTATGTCCGACCAAAAACCGCTAGCTAGTAGAAGAACCCAAAAACAACGTGTTCCTTTTGGAAACGCACGGTTGCAGTCTCAGGTTTAAGCCGAAAGTTTCAGGGCCTAAGAGCCTGGATAACTGGGGCTTGGAGGCCAACATTTTAAGTTGCACGTAGTTTGGGGTCGGCAGGGCTAGGGTGACATCCCTCAGTCTAGCCATGAACATCTACACCAACTTTCCCTCGAAGATACCCTGCATCCCATGGGAGGTGTCGGAGCTAGCATGCACAGGGCTCTCTAGCAAAAGGCCCAGAAACCTTTTTCTGCGCTTAGGGGGACTGTCAGACTATAGAGCCTACTTGGGCCCCTTACACCCCGAAACTGCTGTTAACTCCACTGGCAAGGCTTCAACCTCCCCTTCCCTGACTGGGAAACATAGCATTGCTGCGGATACGCGGACTGTACAGAGCGTAGACTTCGGGGGTCTTTTGAAAGCTGATATCTAGAAAGAACTTCACATAATGTAGTAGCATAGCCCTGCTTAGCTTGCTCAAGAACTACTCTCCCTGACTTGGAACCCCGTTTAAGATGGATGGATCAAACATGGCCTGTCGTGTTCCCTCCTTCTCCTCCTATAGACACAAGACATCACCTGCCCACCACCTGCAGCCTCTAGAAAGCATGCCTCAAAGCTTGTTTTGGTCGATGGCTCTCTTGCGGAGGATTGGGGCTCATTTGCGGTCCCAAGGCGGAGAGCTGCCATTTAAAGGCTTCGCTTCACGGGTGTGAGGTGCAGTTTCGGGTTCAGAGTATGATGCCCTTTGTGGTGTTGGGCTTGCTAATCATAATTGTAGAGCCTTTCGAGATTAGCCGCTGAGGATTTGAGAGCATATAATGGGGCTCGAGCCCAATATCTGCACGTGCAGCTTTAACACTTGTACCAAAACTGTGGTAGGTGACTGTATCAAACTTTAAAAGTAGGTGAATGTTTCACTCGGCTGTGCATCTCTGAATCAGGAAAATCACATTGTTCCTCCCGTTTCAGATTCAAAATGAGACTTCAGTGCCTTGACATGCAAGTAATCACCTTCATTCCAGGTAACGCAATCAGACTCACATGCTCTCTCCAGCCTTGGCAAGTTACACTGGCTCCATCCACGTGTGGGATGAGCCGCTAATTACCCACCATAAACGGCTGCAGGGCCGTCTTCGCCCCCGTTTCTCGGGGTGTTTATCCTGAAGATAAGGCCAATGGTTACAGTACAGCACTGATGGTGTGCCTGAGTCCGCACGTCGGCGGTGATGACAACACTGAGAAGGCTGACAACACGAAACCGACTGCCGGTGTTAGACCTGAAGCTGAAGATTTACCCAGGACTCTCAGGGAGAAGTGAGCACAGCACATCGAACACACGGCCCATAGATGTGATTTGGCCCCCACCCCCTCATCTGGGTCCCGACATCTGGGCTTCCACATCTTAGAGACCCTATTTGGGGATCCCTTTAGCAAGGGTCTTTGTACTTGGGGGTTCTCTGAAAGAGCATCCACACCACATGCAACGCGCACATGTTAGAGGCACACTTCTGGCTTCTAAACCGCCAAATCCTTTCACTGACCTACAAACCCACAGGAGACGCTCTCGAAAAAAGGCAGGATTGTGAAGGGATTGACACGAGCTACATAGAAAAACAATGCAGGTTATGGCTACATCGGTGAGAAACGCGGGGCAGACTTAGTGCCCTGCAGCCGAACGTGCCTGAATGATACACACTGCTGCAGTGAGCAATGCTCCGGCCATGAGACAAGAGCCTTTCCTTACCTGATCAGCTTCCTAAGGCTACGAATAACTGAATTCAGTATCCAAGAGATCTAGAGATATCACCACTGTTCCCCAGCCCAGGCATGTGGACCTTCCGAAAAACACCGGACTTGTCGACTTCACTTTGAGGCTTCTGTATTTGCAATGGACCGACCGCATGGACAACATGCAACACATCTGACCAACCGACCAACCGACCAACCAACCAACCAACCAACCAACCAACCAACCAAAGTGGCTGCCAGCTCGATCAACATACATTCCGCAGCATGGAATCAGAAAGTCTAGAAGGACGGCATATGATGTACAGGTCCCTACTTACTGTTGAAACTGCAAACCGATGAAGCTGAGTTCCCCTGTCTTTGTGCTTAGGTCCCGGTATGACTTGAGGTCCTAACTAACTAAGACCTCATTAGCAAGCTTACTTGTGTGTGACCTTGGATCGTGCTCCAAATCTGCGAGTCTCCATCTGCACTAAGTAGACTGCTTTCACGGACTTCTTCAGGCTTCTTGTTCCAGAAACTAAGCTTTAGCCGCATGACACTAATCAATAATGACATGTTGGCGGATGTTTACACAAAAGGCTCCGGGAGGCACCATCACGTATCACTCCCACCTCCGTTTGTAACTCACTAAACAAACATGCTGCATTTTAGGTCAGTAAGAATGGAACTCCTCAAGCATCAGGAAACTAGAAAAATGCTTGGTCTTCGCTCCCGGGCTTTACTTTAAATTATGCACTTCCCATGCACGGCGCAGCATCATTGCACATGGCCATGGGCTCAAGAGGGGCGGCACAGAGCGTGGGAAACCGGGGCCCATGTGAGAAACGATCTGTGAGAAGCTAAAGCACCTTGCAGGATGTTGCTAAGCTGAGGAGGATGCATGCATCAGAGCTAGAACTTGCCCTGAAGGAGTCTCCTCCCTGCTGAAAGATATTCCGTATATGATATGCTCCAAAGTACGAGTCATCAAAATGTTGGTTTCTCGAGTTGATGGAGTGCTGTTAGAGAGTACATCAAAGCGGACCCTGCGTGTTTCGGAGCACCGGCTTCCCTTCCGGAGTGCACATTGTGGGAGCTCCGAGCCAGCTGAACAACCCCCTCGGGGCGTACAACTTACCACGCAGAGGGAGGCTACAGGGAAAGGAAGTGGAGAGTGGTGAGGATTTGGGGATTTGGGTCACTCTTCAAGGGCTTGAACTTAATCCTCTTGACTCCTTTTACCCGACATCCTAAAATCCTGCTGAATGATCTTGAATCTCCCATCCCACTGCACTGTAAGATTGGCTCGTTTCAGGAGCTGCACCAAACCAGCTATTTTGAGACGCACAAGATCTTGACAAGTGTTCATACTACTCTCATTAAGTCCTCAAGCCTGAGAACCTGACATCCCAAATTCCACACCTTTAGCACGCGTGGTAGACGTCTCATTCCAGGGAAAGTCTACTGTTTGCCTCCCTGCTGGCACATAATAAGGCAAGCTCCCCAAGAGTTCCAGCAGTTGTGTTGAGACGTATCTAACGTTTCATAGCATCCCATCAACAGGAACGACAAAATACGCGCACTACCGCTGTACTTAACTTCCTGCATAGAACTAAATTGTCATGGATATGAAGTTACAGGCATGTCGAAGACTGGTCGGACGTTTGCCTGACAAGCCAGCTCTCATTGGGGGCTTCAAACATTCATCCGCGTCGTGCTCCAACAGCACGTAATTCCATGCATCAGAAGTTCAAAGGACTTGTTTCACCTCATTGCGGTTGTCACCGGCATGGGCATTTGGACGCCTGGGACCTGGCAGCTGCACAGCCGGGGCTCCGCAATCAGGACCAGGCTTGCAGGGCTACAGAAGTTTGATCGAAGTCTTGTATGCAAATACCCCACCTTCAAACGGATGGGAAGACCTGCGTGGCTCTAAATCACGTCGCACAAGGCATTTTCAAGGTTTCCTGTGGACAGGTTTCTCTTCTGAATGCCTCCATGTCTGTGCCATCATCGAAGGATTCTCAAAGACTCCTCAACGAACTCATGCTCCGTTTATGAAGACTCTTCCCCATCGCAGACTCTCGAGCCAAACCTTCAACGACTCTATGTGGTGTATGCTCAGGAGCTCGAGTACTGAGTAGGAAGCTCTTTGCAAACAGTGCGCGATATTTTGGCTACTTGGACCATTTTGGGAAGAGTAAGGAAAGTTTGAAGTCACTGAGTTTCTGCCTCCACTTTCAGAAGGAAGAGCAAAAAAGATTTGACAACAAGATTGGCAACAAGAACTGGTCCTACAGTAGTAGTTGTTGTCGCAGTAATTGTAAAAGGAGAGGAGCAACGGCGGCACCACCACCACCACCCCCAACCCCACTCCCGACCCCACCCCCACCACATGACCCCCACCACACCACCCCCACCACCACCCCCACC